ACACCACCGTCAAGTCTTGGCTTTTCTGGTTAGTGTTGTTAGCCCAGGAAATGGTAGTTATCCTCTAGTTTTTTTTGCCTGGAGGCTATTAGTAGCAGTCACTTGAAGAACCTTGGTTTCTGAGTTGCCTGAAAAACTCCCTCAGGTGCTCAGTGTAAGAGGATTTCCAGAGGGTGGGGTAGCTGCTGGTTGTTAATGGGCCTCAATTAGCATTTCAGTGGCCACCAGGTGGGGTTGAATCTCTGAGGGGGGGGGCCTGTGCCTCTCTCCAGGGCCCTAGGAAGGAGTAAAATGACCTCAGTCCTGCGTGGCTGCACTCAGCAAAAGCTCCTAGCACCCTCCAAAACCCGAATGTCCCCACACAGTTCCAGTCCAGTCTGCCTTCCCTCTGCCGGAGCCCAAGGTGAGTGGCTGCTGCCAATTTAGCCTACGTCCGGACTCTGTGTCGTGGAGCCGCCTGAAACTTTTAACCCGACGGCGCTGTTTCCAGCCAAGGACAGCAGCGGATGTGGCACCAGCTCAGGGCGTTGCACTCAGCAGAAACTCCAGGACTGAGCCACGGTAGCGGGACACTTCCGAGGTGGCAGCAGCTTCCAGCAGAGTCCCCTGGTCCCCACGAGTCCGTGCAGCACCAGCCGAGGGCTTAGGACGCAGATTTCGCGGGACTCAGCCTTGGTAGCAGCATCCCGCTGAGTCCCCTGGTCCCAGCCAGTCTGTGCAGCACCAGCAGAGGGCTTTGCAGGCAACAGAGTTCCCAGGACTCATGCGGGGTCGCAAGGGAGGCAGTAGCTGCAACTTCCCGTCGAGCCCCCTGGTCCCACCAAGTCCGTGTGGCACCAGCCGACAGCTTAGCAGGCAACAGAGTTAGCAGGAATCATGCAGGGTTGCAGCAGAGGTGGCAGCAGCAACTTCCCACCGAGTTCCCTGGTCCCCGCCCAGGCCGCTGCGGACCGTGAGCTCCCGGCCCCCTCTCGCGTCCTCGCAAGCCTACCAGGATTGAGTCAGTGTCCCTGGTTATGTGGTCCTCCTAAGTGTCTTTCAGTTGCCCCTTCCTGAGGATTTACCTTTATTTTCATTGTAAATCCAGTTTGGTCCTGGGAGATGGTCTGTGTAGCTCCATTCACTTCGTCACCATTTTCTGGAGTCCGCAATTGCACATTTTAAATGGATGAAGTTTATGGTGTGTAAATTATACCTCTTAATGCTGTGTTTTTTAATGAATGTTACCTAGTATCATCAACTATAATTTTTTAATACTTTCCAAATTTTTAATAAAAAAGTGAAAAAACTATGTTTCAAATATACTGATATACATAGGGTGACTGTATAAGTGATCATCTAAACAATAACATGCTGAAGGATAAAAGGAGTTCTAATTATGATTACATGGGACCACAGGATTAAGCCAAACCAAAATGTATGGTTACTTTTAGTTACAAATTTTAATACCTTCATCTACATCTGTTCAGCACAGATTATACAGGGTGGGGCAAAAGCAGATTTATACATAGGGTGACTGTATAAGTGATCATCTAAACAAGACATGCTGAAACACAGCATGAAACACAGAGTTTACTCTTTTTTTTTTAAATTCTCACCTGAGGATATTTTTCCGCTTATCTTCAGTTAGAGTAGGAGGGAGAAAGAGAGACAGAAAGATGAGAGAGAGAGAGAGAGAGAGAGAGAGAGAGAGAGAGAGAGAATGACATTGACATAAGACAGACACATCTACTGGTTGCTTCCTGCATGACCCTGACCAGGGTTGGGGACTGAACCAAAACTAAGGTACATGCCCTTGACCAGAATCAAACACAAGACTCTTTGGTCTGTGGGTTTATGTTCTAACCACTGAGCAAACCAGCCAGGGCCATAGTTTCTTATATTATTATTTATTAATTATTGGATTTTTTTCCATACGAACAACTGTAAACATACTTTTGCCCTATCCTGTATTATGCAATTGAGCTGGTTTTCATTTTAAGCTAGCCTTTCAACGATTTAGAAGGTGATGAATTACCTTTTCCCCAGCATTACTAATGCTTCATTTAAGCTGTGTAACCACATATAACAACTTCAACCCCATCATCTGAGAGGATAGTGCCTCCTAATTCTTTCCATTTAATACACAGGTAAGCATCAAATGGCTAGACCAAAAGTAAACCTGCAAACAAGCCACCTTTATATCTTGAAAAGTACATCTACTAAACTATTTTAATTTTCCTAATCTCTACAATACTAAAATTCAAGTCATTTCTTTACAAGAAAAATGCTAACATTTCAATTTTAGGTGCCTCCAACTTTCTCTCTTATTTTCATTTATTCCTCCAACAGTTTAAGTTTACTATGTGCCAGGCACTGTACTATGTGCTGAAGAAAGAAAGACCACAAAAGGCAAGGTAGGCCCCAGATGCCCTCTTACCTCTAGGGGCCAATGAGAGCTGAATCGGGACAACAGAAGCTTGTAACTTCTGCTGCTGAAACACTGTTTAATATTTAGCCATTGGCCTAATAAGAAAACTTTATAGTAGAGTCTTCTAGGCACAATAATTCCAAAATAGTTTTTTAATGTTAATTCTTTCTTAAATTGAACATTCAGACAATGAAAATAATACAATGTAATATACAATACAATAAAATAAACTAAGCCATTCTGAACACTCCTTCTCTGGCCACTACTAATCTGCATTTGTCTTAGACAAAGCAGCTCCCTAGTAGAAAGAACACAAAGTATGTGTTGTTCTTGTTTAGCATCATAAACCAATGAAGTGGTAATATTTCCAACTACCACTAGGTGGTGGTAAAACTCACAGGCAGGAAGCCAATGGAGTGAATTCCTGAGAGGCATTCCTCATGTTATTGTCCCACTGTTCTGAATTTCCAATGAAGAAAACACATTAGTGTTCAGAAACTGCACTAGTCTTAGAAAAATAAAAGCTATACAAAAGCATGAACTATAGTGCCAAATTCTTATTTTTTAAAGGAATGAGTCCTATGACATGCAAAATCTCAATGAAATAATCCTTATAATGAGGTAATGAAAAGTTTAATACTTATTCTAATAGTTTCTGCTGGCTGAGAAATAGCTTTTCTTCTAATTCATACATTTATATAATCTGACTCTATGCTTTCATGTTTTATGCTGATTTTGGAGCCAATACCAGTAATCCAGCATATCAAGTTACTTCAAGTTCCCGTAATACACTGCCTCATAGCTATCCCTTTGATCTTCACATGGCTCTCTGCCTAGAGTCCGTTTTACTATGTTGCACGTGCGTGTGTGTGTGTACGTGTGTTAAAAATAGTTACTAAGCATAATGCTGGGAATGAAACATACAGTCTCTATCTCAAGTTTATAGCTCAGTGATAGGAACAGGCCAAGTCACTGCTGAAGTCAGTGCAGACAATACTGACTTATGAGACAAGTCCCAAAGAACAGGCAAAGGACAAGGACGTACTATCCACACTGCCAGGAGCCAGGGGTAGGTGGGGATGGGGAGAAGCCTTTTGAACACATGCGTGGAGACTAGGATTGCAGAGATGTAGTGTTAAGAATAGAAATAAGTAAGATTCACAATGGCTTGAGGGGTTTTGCACACAGAATTTTCAGAAAATCTAAGAGCAGAACACAGGGGAAGTAACGGATGGAGAGTCTGGACAACTGGGTAAGGGTGGTCACAGAAGTGCAGAACATTCTGCCAGGCTAAGGATTCATGACTTTCTTAATCCTTGATGTCACTGAAGGCTTTTGGCCACAGCAATAATGTGATCAATTTTTAATTTGCATAAATTATTAAAAGGCTGTATATTTATTAGCGATAGCCTAGACTCTTGCACTAGAGCCAGGGTTCAAATCCTAGCTCCACCCCTTATTCTTTGCATGATGTGAGACAAATTACTTCACCTCTCTGTGCCTCAATATGCTTCTCTCTTAAATGGGAGTAAGAGACTTTTACATCAGAGTGGTTATGAAAAACACTTAGAACAATGCAATAGTTAGTTGTAACACTGCACTCTGGTGGCTGCTTGTGAGAAGGCAACTAAGGCAGGGAGGCTGTTGCAGAGACTGAAGCAAGAAATACTGAATTGAAGTTCAAGATGAAAATAAATGGTACACATATGATTTCACTCATATGTGGAATCTAATGAACAAAATGAACTAATATGCAAAATAAAAACAGACTCATAGATAGAGAGCAGGATGACAGCTGTCAGAGAGGGGTGGGGGCTGGGTGGTGGGGGGTAGAAGAATTGAGCAAAATAGAAAAAAGAGAAAGAACTCATGAACATGCACAATACTGACTGCTGTGGGGAGGAGTGCGGAGGGAGGGAGAGGAGGGTACAGGGAGGATAAATGGTGATGGATGCAGACTTCACTTAGAGTACTGAACGTACAATACAATGTACAAATGTTGTGTTATAGAATTGTGCAGCTGAAACCTGTACAAATTTGTTAACCAATGTCACCCCAATAAATTAAATAAAAAAGAAAAAAAAAAGAAATGTGGTAAAATTTGAGATAAAGGAGGCAGAAATAAAGAGGATCAAAATGGCTCACTTAATGAAGATGAATGTGAGCCAAGAAAGGGCAGAGTCCCCAGTGAGGCTCTAGTTTCTGACTTGGGAAACTGGGTAGACAGAGCTTCCATTCTTAGACATGGGAGATCATGAAGAAGGGTCAGTTTAGGAATGACAGGTAATAAAGACAACATCAAAACCTTTGCCTTTGCTTGCCTGTCTTCTAAGATGCAAGTTACAAGTCATGGTGTCTCTGGTCCTCTATTACATTTACATTTATATCTCTGTCTCACCATTGATCACATATCAAGACCATGTCTTAACAATTCTCATATCCGAAATGCCTGGTATGTTAAATGTTTGCTAAGTGTTTTGAGAAGTAGAGGGAGAGAAGGAGACAGAGAGAGAGAGAGAGAGAAATCAGAGAGAGAGAGCTGAGCATTTGAATAATAAACAAAAACACAAATGATAATCAAAATTTTTACCTGCTTCAGATTCAGGAGGAGAGTAAAACTGACCATCAGAAAGACCACCAGGTATAAGTGCTGCCCTCTCCGAAGCATCCTGAACTATCAGGAGCCCTGGAAGAGAAGAAATTCAGATGCTGGGAATGATGTCACTGGTCTGGTAGCTTCCTGGCATGGTTCACCACAATAAAATGATATTACTATTACATTAAAAAAACACTCAAATAAAACCCCTCTCAGCCAAAAGAGGTACTTTGAAAATCTTTCAACCAAAAAACAAATTTTATTAATAAACTATGAACCCATACTGTAAATAGATTTCAACTAGCTTTAGAAACTGTCACATATTACTCATGTGATTCTTTGACTCAGTATTTATAGCATACTCCATTGAGATGACCCTTCCTCCCTACAGAAACCAACAACAGCATCAGGACCACAACACAAAGCAAAGCAGAGAACCTGGTCAGCTCATACAAATGGTCTACACCAGTGGTTCTCAACTTTTCTAATGCCGTGACCCTTTAATACAGTTCCTCATGTTGTGGTGACCCCCAACCATAAGATTATTTTTGTTGCTACTTCATAACTGTAATTTTGCTACTGTCATGTCTTAGGCGACCCTTGTGAAAGGGTCATTTGACCCCCAAAGAGGTCGCTACCCACAGGTTGAGAATAGCTGGTCAGCTGGAGAATTGCCAGATGCAAAACATAATAAATGAACAGATGTTTATAAATATATAAAGAGTAATTAGAGTAAATAAGATAGTGAAGATATATCTATCCAGTAAAAAGGTCTTCAGAAAATAAGAGTATTAAAAAAACAAAAGAGCCCTGGCCAGTTTGGCTCAATGCTTAGAGAATTGGCCTGTGGACCGGAGAGTCCTGGGTTTGGTTCCTGCTAACGGCATGTACCTATGTTGCAGTTTGTCCCCGGCCCCAGTTGGGGTCGTGTGGGTGGCAGCCACTCAATGTGTCTCCCTCACATTGATGTTTCTCTCTCTCTCTCTCTGTCTTTCTCTCTCCCCCTCCCCCTCTCTATCTGAAGATAAATGCAAAAATGTCCTCGGGTGAGGATTAAAAAAAAAAAGAGAAGAAAAGGAAGCATGATGTGGATAGCTCAAGAACACCAATACATGACGAGAGAGGCAATCAACAATGAGTTCTTTTGACTGAATGTGAGTTAACAATGAGGAAATGTCAGAGGAAGCACCAGAGCAAATAGCTGATACCAGCTTTGTGTGTAAAATATGCTACAGACAGTAAAAATAAATGCTATTGTAAAGTTTTTCATTAATTGTGTGTTGTGCTTTATTACTTATTTTGAATTTGGTTTAATTATATACATATTCAGGCCTCAGTCACATTAATAGTTGTTCTGCTGTCAATAAAGTTCAATTTGATCTTTATATATAATTTAAAAAATAACTTCCATTAACTTTGTCCCTTCTCCACAATATGTTTTCATTAAGGAAAAGAAGACACAGGATAGATATAACCTGGTTTTATTGATGTGTTTTAAAACGTACTCTTGAATAATTCTTTTGTTATAGATTTCTTCTCTGTAAATGAGATCTTCCTAAAGAAAACCATGTCCAGGGTTATTTTTCCTTCTGCTGTTCCTTGAGGTTATAATCATACTTATATTTACATGAGACACAGACTTTTATTTTCATTAGGCAGGGCAAAGAGAGCCAGATGATTGAGGAACATAAACACAAAATGTCTTAAATCTGTCTGGGTCTCTGTTGAGCTTTGATCATGTCACCTCCAAGAGGGTGGATGGACCATGTGGGCTTCCACAAGGCTATCAGTCGAAAAAGAATTCCAGCTCAATAATTAATCATAAAGTTCAACAAGTCATTTGGCCTTCCTAGCCAATATCCAGGGAGCCTCAAAGCCACACAGGGATATTACAATAGCTTTGGCAGGACTCATGATCACTCAGCTTCTCAGAGGAGCATGGTGAAAGCCTGAAATGGCTGAGCATTTCCCTGGCTTGCTCTCTTCCTCTTTCTGAACTCTATCTTCATCATTAAGCCACCAACAGGTACACTCTAGGCACATAACTATTGTAATCATGGCACATTCTAAGCCACCAGCTGCATGGATAGCCATCTGGAGAATTCAATGACTTTTAGAATTGCTGACTCAGTTCACCTAACATTGTTTCATATTTCTCTGTCCCTAAGCAACAGTTCTGTTTAGATGCACAAAATGCCCAGTGCTATTATTAATAGAAAAAAAAAAGGTCAACCTGTCTGAGGAGAAAGAGGTATTGGCTATTTTTGTTGTTTGAATGTCTTTTTCACCAGCGTTCACACTTCTACTAAAGAAGCCTGGTCTAACAGCTGTAGAAGAGCCACATTCTGTCACTATCCTCTTGCCTGACTCTTCTTGTGATGTCTGTTATACCCACTAAAGAACGGACATGCCATGATTTGCCCAACTCCACCCACCTGTGGCTCCCTTCAAATCATGACATCTACAGCTCTTCCTTCCAACACAGTACCAGACAGCCCGAGGAAGCTAACTTTGGGAGAAACTTACTGTTTTCTTCCTCTGACTCTTGAGGTAACACTTTGAAATCCAGGAACCACGTCTCAATCCAGGCAAGGATGAACGAAATGATGGGCAGCACATAACCAAAAGCCCCTTGAGAGAAAAGCTGGAAGAACAGATGTGACCAGTAGAGGGAAATACAGTTACCATGAGCTCACAATGGAAAATGAGGCTTTGTTATTATAGATGGTATTGTTCAAAAAAGTGGTAGGCGATACCTTTGAGAGGATCACTTTTGCTAGTAAAAAGGCACTGGTCACTGCTGTTGTCAACTGAAAGACAAATAATTTGACACCATTCAAATTAGACACTGGATATTGTAGAGGTACTTTCCTCACACCAGAGGCCCACCTGAGCCAGAAGCACATAATGCCTGAGAAGTTATGCCCAGCCTGGTTCCTTCCCACATCACTCTGTCTCTATTTCCTCAACCCAGACTGCAGCAAAGTGAACTTCTATGTGGCACACCATCTCTGATTGACTCTTATGGCTTCCTTTCTCCTACATTTTAGCAAACTGGTGTGTTGGGAAACTAAATTTTATCCAAAGACACTATCACAATAGAAAAAAGGACAGTGAAATACGGAGGCAGGGCTTCCCATAGGGGTTAGGATTATCCCACAGGACCTGTCCCTTGTCATTTCATCCTCCAACTGAGGTTTGTAGCAATATGAAACCTAATCAAGGTGAATGCCAAACAGTAGCCTTGGCCAACAGAATGTAGGTCAGGGGACAACAGGTGTCATGCTTAGTAAGTACTAACAAAGAAGAGTCAGTATATGTTAGCAAAACACAACCAGCTCATGTGCACACACACACCAGCCAGAGTGAGCTACTTGAGAGAGGAACCATTTACATTCTGGTACTAATTAACTTTACAGGCTGAACTAAGAGCTTTTTAGGTACCAGCTGTCTTCTTCCACCAGCATGGGCCCTCTCTACAAATGTTATTAAAAATAAAAATCAGAGTCCTGGCCGGTTTGGCTCAGCAGTTAGAGCATTGGCCTGCGATCCAGAGAGACACAGAATCGGCTCCTGCTAAGGGTGCGTACCTCGGTTGCAGTTTGTCCCGGGCCCTGGTTGGTCGTGCAGGTGGCAGCCACTCAATGTGTCCCTTTCACATCGATGTTTCTCTCTCTCTCTCTTCCTCTCTCTCCCTCCCACTCTATCTGAACAAAAAAAAATTAAAAAAATGTCCTAGGGTGAGGATAATAAATAAATAAATAAATAAATAAAATAAAAATCAGAAACAATAAAATGAAAGTGCTAAATCTGACCTGTCCTTTTGATAATTTACAATTAGATACTTTATTAAAATGCTCAGTGTCAACCACTTTTCTGAAAAAACAAACAAAAACATCAAGACAGATGGATTGACAAATACTAGTGCATGTAACAGAGACTCAAATATAGGGACTGTTGTAGAAAATTGGGAAAGGACAATCATCATAGCTATTTGGTATTGGCAAAAGCTATTTGGTATTCAAGACAGGGAATTAAGTCAGGCTAAAACTATCAACCCATATCCATGAATCACAAGCATGGGGTTCAATGGATGGTCTGATGATTCTGTGGATGCTCAGAGGAGATGGCACAGGCAGAGGTGGCCCCTGGTGGACTCTATCTTAGGATTGCTGGACAAACCTGTGCCAGCCCACACACAGACCAAGGTCTCACACTCCAAAAGCAGGACTGCAGGTTATTGCTAAGCAGCATTACCCTCCCTTCATATACCTGCCTTATTAGAGCTCTCAAAAAGGTAAGTGTTCAGATATCTGTGGAAATGGCAAAAACCATTCAGGCAGAATTCCTTATAATTATTCTTTTAAATAATAAGTATTTCTTGAAAGTGAATAGTATGTGCCAAAGCTCTGTATTAGATACAAGGAAACAGAAAGGAGTAAAAAAGCCACTGCCTTGAAGAAGCCCAAAGGCATAGTATTCCATTGCATAAATGTACCACATTTTTTATCCACATGACACAGAGTTACCTAGAGAATATTATACTGAATGAAGTAAGCCAATCAGAAAAAGACAAGTATCACATTATCTCATTTATGGAACATCATGAACAAAATAAGCTGTCGACCAAAATGGATCCAGGGTCATGGAAGTAGGGAATGTGGGGTGGGAGGGATGGGAGGAGATAAACCAAAGATCTTATATGCATAATGCATATATGTACAACCAATGGACACAGACATTAGGTTGGGGAAAGCAGGAGGGGAATGGGAAAGAGGAAGAGGGGGTCAATGGGGACAAAAGAGGGACATCTGTAATACTTTCAACAATAATTTTAAAAAAGAAGCCTAAAGGCAACAATAGAAAGGAACATGAGAGCTTTTCCCTTTAAGATTAGAGGGAGAATAAAACAGGATGGAAGGCAATTACCAAAATAAGCAGAGAGCGAGTCATGAAAACTCACCAAGCAGTTTCAAACAACAGGAAATTTTCTATCTTTGTGACAGAGACACTGACTTATCTCTCATTGTAAAATGGTGGGTTGTATCTCACTGTAAAAAGAAAGGTGGTGTCCAGCCAGTGTGGCTCACTGGTTGAGCATCGACCCATGCACCAAGAGGTCTCCAGTTTGATTCCCGGTCAGAGCACATGCCCAGGCTGTGGGCCTGGACCCCAGTGGGGGGCATGAAGGAGGCAGCCAATTGATACTCTCTCTCATTGATGTTTCTATCTCTCTCTAAAATCAATAAAGAATAAATAAATAAATACATACATACATACATAAATAAAATGGCGGGTGGGTTGGTTCTTAGCCAATAATCCTGGTGGGCCTCCGGATTTCTCATTTGGTTCAGGATCCATACAGATAACGCTAATTAGTCATTGTAATCGGAAAGAAACCCTGGAGTGTTAAACCTGTTGAAATGGGGAGAATAGAGGACTCGGGAAAAGCTAGTAGCATTCAACCTAGATGAAAACCGCTGCTTCTCCCAGCTCAGCCCTGTTGTGAGCAGGCCCAGGCCACCAGCACTGGAGGCGAACCATTCATCAGGTATACTCACTGCTATTGCCCACCAATGGCGCAGTCTGCACACAGCATAGGCAAGTATTAACACTTTGAACCGAAAGACTGCCAAAAGCTATATTAAAAAAAGAAAAAACAAGATAAGATTTTAAAAATATATACAAAAGAAAAGTAATATACTTTTATGAAGAATGCACAAAGTGCCTTCATTATTCTGATTTAGCTGAAGACTATCACAGACTAGCATTGGTCTCTAGATAGCATTTGAGATCCTTGCTCTAGAATTTATGTAATATCACCCAAACAAGGATTCAAATCAACTTCCCATTCTCCACAAAAGAACATATAATTAAATGTTTGTTTTTCCTTTCTATCTAAGTCCACATATATTTCTGATCCCACTTCAGGTACAAATGATCACTTTTGGAAGACAGCAGGGTTTTAGTCAAGTCCACTGTAAAGCTCTGGGTTACTGGGGTATTGAAAGAGTTCAGTCTATCACAGTAGCTATTATCTGTTTAAGATGGTCCTGGGACTTTTGTGAAACCCTTTATGTGCATTATTATCCCATGTAATCCCCACCACAACCACGAGTCAACTACTGTCATTATCATATTATACAGATAAGATGAACAGAAAAATTGTCCAAAACCACACACCTCCTTAGTGAGGAAGCCAGGTAGCCTGACTGCAAAGACCAGGCTCTTAACCACTATACTACTGCTGTCATAGTAACTCTCGTCTACTAAGAAATAAACATAGAATAAAATTTTACCAATTTTACTTGAACAATGTGCTTATTCTGAGTTGGGAGAAGTCAGGCTGACTTCTTGAGGCTCAGGGCAGGACTCTGCCAAAAGAACTGCTGAAAGGCTGCAGGCTGAACTTTTTGGCTGCCATTGACTAGATAACCTCACTTAAGATTCTTTCACATGAATGAAGTTCACAGGTTATATTTGTTTTTAATTTGCTGCTTTCATTAAAAACGTGTTTTCCAACAATCTCTTAACTGTTTAGTTTCTCTATTCATCCAAACTCTATCTCTGCGTTCTGGACTTGGCGAAAGTATGTTTTTACTGCTCTATCTTCAAGTGTCCCAGATCCCAAGGTTTCTTGAAGGTTGTGCCCATTTCCAAGCCCCTGCATGACAGTCTTTCTAATCTGAGCTAATGGGCTCTACCTATTTATCCAATAACCTCCTAAGCATGGAGTACAAACAACCAATGGAGCTCTGACCAGTGGATTAATCTGGTTTCCTAGTAATTCCTGACTCGAGCTGTTTTAAGATAAATTTAGCAAGGAAAATAAAGAAACAGATTAAATCAAGTTTGTTGTTTATATGTCAATAGTTTTAAAAGAAAAATATCAAGAGATTTGAGATATAAAATTTTCTGCTACCAACTTCAATGACCTAGGGCAAGTCAAGACACTGAACCATGAAATGCAATTTCTTCATTGGGAAAAATAAGAAGTTTAAATTATATTAGTGATTTTCCAAATATTCTGTAGCAGTCAAATACTTTTCAACACACCGTATAGAACCCTAATATACTATACAGATAAGAATGAACCCTAACATACTGTATAGATAAAAACTGAACCAGTCAGGTTGCAAGGGAGTGATGACAAGGAATCCTGATCTCTACTTATTGGAAATTCCACTTCTTTCTCCAGACATACTTAGGCAGGCCCCTTCAAAACAAAATAAGACTTTTTAAAGTAGTTTGAAAACCATTAGAAAATATAGTCATTAAAATTTTCAACTAAAAATGATGATGATGACAGTGATTGCAGCTGGTTCTCTGAGCTTCTAGAATTTACCTATCATTGGGCTAGGTGCCTTCCATGTATTATTTCATTTACTTTTCAGAATGATGATGATCTCATTTTAAATACTGAGGAAACTGAAACTGAGACCTAATCTATTCAAAGGTATACAACTAGTGCTGTGAGTCAAACCCAGGTTTTCTGACTTTAAGGGTCCTACTTGTAAACACTGTGCATACACAGTTTCTAAACACAGTGAATAAAGAGGTTAAAATTAACTTGGTGCAATTCATTGTGAATTTTAGTTGCCTGTACTGTGTTAGAATCTGATATACTTACACTATGAAAAGAGATACCATGGAGATGTATCAAACCATATCAAAGTGTGTCCTACAGACACTGCAAGCATACATTTGAATAAAATGAATGCCTCATCTACAGATAATTGCATCTGTAATTCTACAACTCACTAACGTTACCTAAGATTACCAATACATAATTTTCCTCAAATTATGAGTAAAATGAAACACAGATTATTGGAAATATAATAAAATCTATGTCAAGCCAGAAAATAAAATACATTTTCATGATGTTGTTATATAAGTAGGTAAATTTTCTTTTTAGTGATTAGTGTCAATGGCTTTTATTTCAGCCAATTGAAAGAATAAAGGCTTTTCTACAAGAAAATCAGAATGGCTTCTTCTGCTGCCTCCCTTCTCCCTCATTAATCTTTTTATTATCCTTGAGATGACCAGACAATTCCTTAGAAAGAGGGACAGAGAACACAGAATGGGCCAGTAACTAGGGGGAAAAGAAAAGATAGTGTTCAAGGGATGAAACAAAGAGAACTACATAGAATTCAAGGTCTAGTGAGAGGAAATTTGCCTTTTGGTTATTTCCATCATATCTGAAATAAACTATATAATAGAAAATACTTACAAATATATCAAAATAAGAAGAGTAGAAGTCATACTGCACCACCTCCTTCTCTAATGTGTTCTCAATGCCTCCATTCACCTAGGAAGGAGAGTAAAAAGTAAAAACGACAACAGATTTATGTATGAAAGTAATACAATACAACATACAAGTAAAGTTTCATATACATTTCTGCCTATCTTCTCAGAATCCAGAAATGCTAAAATATAGAAGAACCCTCAGACTTCTAATAGAAAAATGCTGAATAGCATTTCCCACTTAATTTTGAATTCATTCAACTAGTATAAATGTATAATGGAAAACAATGCATCTTTTGTAGTTCATACTTTGGCAAATTAATATTTTTAAAAAATGAAGTATTTGAACTTTATCTTAGGAGATAAAAAAAATAATTAGTCCAAACGTCAGTTCCTAGAAACATATACTTGTAAAGAACACAATTAACATTTATCCAGGGCTTCCAATCACTTTCCACTGTTTTAGGTCTTGAAAGTAGATTTGACAAAACTTACTGTTAGACTGGATATGGGGTGTGAGAAATACAAAACAAGCAAATCAGTCAAGAATGAGACTACATTTTTGGCCTGAGCATCTGGGTATTATACGTGGTTATGTGTGCTGGGGGAGGCCATTAAGTTAGACATCCACTGGACAAGGCAGGTAGGTCATGATTTAGTGAGTCAGAAGCTTCTGGAAGATCTCAAAACCATGTCTTCTAGTCTGCTCCAGAACCTGTAAGAGCTCACTATTACAGTAAATCCAACACTTCTATATAGCTAAGAATTTTAACAGTCTAGAAGCAGCTTACCTATACAAGTTCTTTTTTTTTTTTTTGGTATGTTCCCCTAGTGGGAACCGAACCAGGGACTCTCTGGTCCGCAGGCCACGCTCCAACCACTGGGCCAGGACTACAAGTTCATTTTCTATAGACACTTTCTAGCCAGGCTAATATTTTCTCTGTCTCTGTCCCTATCCCCTCTAAAACACACACACACACACACACACACACACACACACAAGCCTGCCTCAGTGCTTCTGCTCACCTTGATCTCCAAACCCTCTCCCTATTGTTCCCACAATCTAATTACAGTTCATCCTTCTATCCCAAATTCCACCCGCCCTGCCACACCCACTTTTGTCTATCTTCACCACCTACTCCTCAGAGAATTCCAACCCACTGACCTCCCCATAATCTGAATTTCTGTTATCATTGGTCATCACAGTTTAACTATAGAACTTAATGACAGTAGGTAACAAAATCAGAATCAGAAGGGTAAAAAGCATCTAAAACACAAATGTAACAATAGTGAGAGAATAATAACCAACATTTCCCTCTCTTTAAAGGTGAAATTTATTTCAGTTAATAAATTATATAACATATAGCTATGAAGAGTTTTATATATATAAGAGGCTGCTGTATCTATCTTTTCATTTGATTCTCACAGGAATTCATAAGACAGGTATTAGTTCAGCTAACTGATAGAGAAACTTAATGGTGTGCCTTTTAAGGCCACAGAACTGGTTGTGATAGCTCTAAGTCAAATTACAAGCATTCTGACACTTTCTAGTACATGTTATAAAATAATAAAATAGGCAATAAGCATTGATAAAAGTCTTTGAATTATAATATCAACCAAAGTGTCAAAAGCTAAAAGAGAAAACAATTTCCCATCTATTGCCTTGTGGATCCCTGTCCGTATCAGTCTGAAGAGTCTGGGGGAGAAGAGTTTGGAGAGGAAATAGAGTCCTCAGGAAACTCAAGCCACGGTGAATTCCAGATCCAATTCAGGAAGTAAGTTTACTCAGGGGTGTACTAGGTGGCCCTAGACAGAATCAGAACCATCCTTTCAACGGGCCTAAAACATCAGTTGCCCTAAGGTCTTCTAGAGGAAAACGAACCATAGTGGTAAAAGGCTTCTCTGGGCTTTCCAGTCCCTGCATTCCAGGTTGGGTTGGTGCCCGTCAATTCCCTGGAGCAAGGAGGAAAGTAGCTAAGTCAGAAGCCATATATGAAGGCAAAGTATTTTGGTATTATGATTGCATAGAACAGTTTGGTCCCCAATGCTTCTGAAGGCCTACACACCCTTGATGCTATTTCTTTCTTCTTTTAAAGACCAATACTACAGACAATATAAGATATGTATATCTTCTCAGCTAAACTTTGTATCTCATGTAGTTTTTGGTGGAACATCATATACTCTTGTGTGATCTTTTATTTCTATAGTGGGAGAAACTGTAGTGGAAAAGTAAAGATAAAAACACATTTCTTAATTGCTAGGCCTGGTGATTTTTCATTTATAACACATTCCATAGATGTAGACAGATTGTTTCTGATGAACAAGAACAGAGTGCAGCCCACTTCACTTCCAGTTCAAGTTTTTTGAAACAATAAAAAAAAGGAGAGAAGTGACAAGGATGATCCTGTAAAGCCCACCACAGCTCTGTCCCACGGGTCCCCTCACTTAAAAGCATGAAGTGATATTAGTGGAAAATCAATGAATTCCTTGATTTTGTGGTGTTACTACAATAATATTTTTAAATGCTCACCCAACTATATACTTATTGATTTTTAAGAGAGAGAAAAAGGGGGGTGGGGGGAGAGCACCAGAGAAACATCAATGTGAAAAAGAGAAATATCATTTGGTTGCCTCCTGTATACAACCTGACTGGGGAATGAACCAGCAACCTATGTATGTGCCCTGACTGGAATCGAACCCTCAAACTTTTGATGTACGCAATGATGCTCCAATCAACTGACCCACCTGGCCAGAGGTCCAGTTTTAAGTGTGCTCCCTTAAAACTGCTGTTATGCTTTCTTGTTAAAAGATGCATTTTTTTCATCTCATTACATAGCTATTAGTTTTGAAAATATATTATTCCTTAAATGTATAGTGTACATTAAATATTTTCTTTACTGTGTACATATAGAACACAATTAAGGGAGATACTAAATTACTGTGTCATATCATTGGCTTGTTTAGTTTTAAATAAAAATAAGGCATATCTACAGTGCTAGATTAACAGAAGAAAAATCTGTGAACAGAAATTTAATAGTAGATTCATGTTGCATATTACTGTGATTCTGAAACAAATCTTATTTTCTAATATAAGTATCTGCTTTCATTAAGAGTTTTGTTCTTATATTAGGATAACATTAAATGAGTCCAATAACCCTAATTTCTAAGTCTACTCTAGAACTAAAATTGCTGTTATGAATCAGAATATTAAAGTTTAGAGTAGGATACTGACTCTTTCCATAAAAAGGCAAAATCAAAAATCATTTTCCAACAAGAATCTCAGCATCTTTTCATATTTTTTCTATTTTAATAAATTTCTTAAAAAGCACCTAGCATGTTGCCTAGCAAAGAGTAACCTCTTAATAATAAACAACAGATAATAACTATTACTACCTAGGACTTAGAAAATATTTCTTAGAAATAAACGAACTATTGAAAAATGAAAGGAACAACCCGGGCTTGGTGGTTCAGTTGGTTGGAGCACTGTCCCGCACACCAAAAGGCTGCGTGCTCAATTCTCAGTCAGGGCACATACCTAGGCTGTGGGTTCAGTCCCAGGCCAGGGTGCATACGGAAGGCAACTGACTAATGTTTCTTTCTCACATAGATGTTTCTCTCTCTCTCTCTCTGCCCCTGCCTTCCTCTCTCTCTAAAATAAACATATCCTCAGGTGAGGGGAAAAAAGTAGAAAATGAAGGGAGCAAACAACTTTTGCCTGGAAAAAAAATATTTTAGAAGAGTTTACCTATTATTGTTGGTAAGAAATGTAAACAGTGAGAACCAAGCCTTTGGGAGAAAACAGATATGTTGGATTAAATAAAATATATTATTAAAATAAAGTTCACACCTGTTTACTTTTACTTATATTAAATAAATGTAGCAACTAGAGAACTAAAAATTATATATGAGGTTTGCATTATATTTCTATTAGAAAGTACTGCAAATTTTCTAGACCAGCAAATTTTAACTGGTGTGCTGCAAGAATTTTTAAAACATGCAATATACCAAACCTCTTTTCCCTTAAACTGTAAAGAAAAAAAAAAAAAAAAGTCAACAGCAAACACGATAGCTGTCCTGTGTGAATGAATAAAAATTACACCTATACTTTTGTCAGATCTGGCAAAAAATACCACTTTTGGCGTGCCATAGAATTTTAGTAATTATTTTACATGTGCCATGAGATAAAAAAGGTTGAAAATCGCTGGTCTATATCACTACATAAACCCATCAAAATATAGACAAACCTCTCCAAATGGTTCTAGAACATTTTTTATAAAATATGAATTAATAATCTCTTTGCAAAAAGGCAGAGTAAATACAAGCAAAATCTTAAGTATGGGAATTAGAAAAGTAGTGCAATATCTAAAACATATTCCAAAAGCAAGCTGCATTTCTTTCACAACAAGGATCAGCAATCTTTCTCTGAAAAGGGCCAGGGAATAAACATCTTTGCCTTTGTGAGACAGAAGGACTCTGTCACATCTACTCAACCACTCAGCATAAAAGCCAGCCACAGACAATATGTAAACAGATGGGCAGGGCTGTGTTCCAATAAAACTTTATTTATAAAAGCAGTCCAGCTGAATTTCACCCCCAGACTGTAGTGTGCCAATTCTCACTGTAGAGCAAAACACTATGAATTGAAATTCCAAAATCCTAGACAAAGTAAGTTTTAAATGAACTAGGTTTAGTTTAACAAATAACAGTAAAGAAAAAGAAATGACCAATATTGCCTCATTTCAAAAAAAATGAAATTCATTAACTGAGACAGAAATTATGAAAAAAATAAGAAAATTATGTTTTGTCTCTGGAAACAATTCTTACAGTCATGGGGAAAACCCACTTACATTTAACTCTATTATCCACAGTAATGTTACAAATAAGAGGTCAAAGGTGACAAACAAACAGAAAGTCCTTCTGACATCAGATATGCCTTTCTTTTCCCTTCCTTCATAGGACTCAATCCTGGCCATGAGTTGTGTAGGGTTGATGGAATGGATGTCTCGCAAAGAAGCGTGAGAGCTCTGGCTCCCAGTGACAGCGTTCTCCATGTCTTCTGGCAGGAAATTTATCCAGGAGAGGAATTATAGGAGCCTCTTTCCAACTTCAACATCCCTAGAGAGAAGAGATCTTTGGGGAATAAAAGAGAGACACCATGTTAAATCACAGCTCACCTTACACCACAGCATTACCTCCACCTCCATGCAACTGTTTCTTTAACTGAGCATCAGAGCATCTTAACTGAAATCATTTGTGTCTTGATGAAGAGAAAGTGAAATGAGAAGCAATTCTTAATGTTAACAATACTACAAAATAGCTGTATGGAAAAGAATGGCAATGGAGAAGAATGAAAACTTACAGTGGTAAAGGACAAAGACAAGATGTTATCCACAACAAAAAGATGTGCTGAGCCCTGGCCGGTTTGGCTCAGCGGTTAGAGCATCGGCCTGCGGTCTGGAGAGACCCGGGATCAGTTCCCGCTAAGGGCATGTACCTCGGTTGCAGTTTGTCCCCGGCCCTGGTTGGTCGTGCGGGTGGCAGCCACTCGATGTGTCCCTTTCACGTCGATGTTTCTCTCTCTCTCTTCCTCTCTCTCCCTCCCACTCTATCTGTACAAAAAATGGAAAAATGTCCTCGGGTGAGGATAAAAAAAAAAAAAAAAAAAAAAAAAAAAAAAAAAAAAAAGATGTGCTGATAACATGAAGAAGGCCTCTTGATGAACATGCCAACCCAGTTCTCTTGCTATCCCAAGAAAAATAAAACTCTACAATTCTGTGTCATTACCCAGGAAAACATTAACTGAATAGCTTCCCAAAGAACATGTAACCAGAATGTGTAAACTAGCTATAAAAATGTGTGTCCCAAACAGGAATTGTTTTTCCACTAAAGGTATCTAATAAACCATATTTAGTATTTCCCCATCACCTTTTACTAAAGAAACATGTTTCTGGGCCTGTTCTTAAAAAAGAAGTTTGTACACTGCAAAAAGTTCAGCAACACATAAATGCCCCACTGATCATTATAGTAGTTACACAATCTTATATGGTGATGCAGAACCTCCTCTCCCCAAGGCCAGGATGTGCTTCTAGAGTAAAAGATTTAGTAATCTAAATGATTTGATCTCCTCATGGATGAGGCAAAGTCATCAAATAGAAGGTATGGTGGATGGTATTTTTGTTTGACAAATATTCCAGTTTCCCTCCCCATAGTACCTCTCTCTGGGGGAGGATTATATTATATACCCTTGGCTCTACTGAATGCATATGTCATTGTTTGGCCAATGTAATGTGGACAGAAGTTTGTGTGTCACTTGAGTCCAGATCTTGAGAACAAGTACATGCTTTACCATGCTCTCTTTTCTTTCTGCCACAATGACTAGCAATGTCCAGATAAAGAACATTTTGCCCTGGCCGGTTTGGCTCAGCGGTTAGAGCGCCCGCCTGCGGTCCGGAGAGACCCGGGTTCGGTTCCCGCTAAGGGCATGTACCTTGGTTGCAGTTTGTCCCCGGCCCTGGTTGGTCGTGCGGGTGGCAGCCACTCGATGTGTCCCTTTCACATCGATGTTTCTGTCTCTCTCTCTTCCTCTCTCTCCCTCCCACTCTGTCTGTACAAAAAATGGAAAAATGTCCTCGGGTGAGGATAAAAAAATATAAAAAAAAAAAAAAAAAAAAAAAAAAAAGAACATTTTCAAGATGGGTAAAATAAAATTTCAAAACATTGCTGGAATTCCCCTAAAGTAATATGATCCCATTTGGTACTATTCACAGTGCAGAACTCTGTCTATTTACAGTTGATCATCATTTCTCTCCCCACACTCAAAAACAAAAGTCCATATTTTCATGCAATGTGGTGATAAAATGACACGACATTTTGAAAGCAATTTGGTTATATGAACTAAGATACTTTTAAAAAATGTTCATACTTCCACCCTGGCCAGTTTGGCTCAGCGGTTAGAGCGTTGGTCTGCGGTCCAGAGAGACCCGAGTTCGGTTCCCGCTAAAGGCACGTACCTGGGTTGCAGTTTGTCCCTGGCCCTAGTTGGGCCCTGCGGGAGGCAGCCACTCAATGTGTCTCTTTTGCATCAATGTTTTTTTCTCTCTCTTCCTCTCTCTCCTTCCCACTCTATCTGAACAAAAAATGAAAAGATGTCATTGGGTGAGGATAAAAATAATAATAATAAAATAAAAAATATTCATACTTCCTGATTTAGTAACCCTACTTCTGCAAATCTAAAGGAAATTAAATGTAGACCTTCAAGGCAAAATTTGATCTGTATCATTAGAGGTGGGATTAGTTGTTACCTTTGAGAAAGAGGGAGGGAAGAGTGACAAGGGGCACAAGCTTGGTCAAGTTCCATTTCCCGGTCTGAGGACTGTGCTCACTTAGTAAACATTTATTGATATAGGCAGTAGTTTCAGTGATGTGTTGACTTGTAAAAAATTCAAATGCTGCCCTGGCCGGTTTGGCTCAGCGGTTAGAGTGTCGGCCTGTGGTCCAGAGAGACCCAGTTCGGTTCCCGCAAAGGGCTCATACCTCAGTTGCAGTTTGTCCCTGGCCCTGGTTGTTCGTTTAGGTGGCAGCCACTCGATGTGTCCCTTTCATGTCGATGTTTCTCTCTCTCTCTCTCTCTCTCTTCCTCTCTCTCCCTCCCACTCTATCTGAACAAAAAAAAAGGAAAAATGTCCTTGGATGAGGATAAAAAAAAAATTCAAATGCTCTACACTTATGTACATGCACACATACATGAACTGTGTGTTATCTTTCAATTAAAATCTCTATCAAAAATACTTCATCATAATATATCTATAATAATCCCAAGTAAAAAACAACCTAAATATCTAAGAACAGGGAAATAATTAGATAAGTCATGGTATAGTCACAGTAGAGTCATAAAATAAATACTTATAAAGCATTTATAATAACTAGGAAAATGCTTGTGTTATAATGATAACTAGATTAAAATCTGGACACTAAATGGAATAAACACAGACACAGTATGATCACAACTCTTTAAAATATCAAAAGCGTATTTTTAAAATGTACCTACGAAATATATCGTATGTTAATAGTGATTATATCTGACTGATGAAATTATATTTTCCCCTCCCTTTACTTTTTCCATATTTTTCAAATTTCTTATTTTGTACATATTATATTTACAACAGAAGGAACTAAAATTCAAATGTAATTTTGCTAGCATCCTGGACAGATATCCCAGGACTTTATGAAGCTCTTCCCTCCCTTTTCAACCCATCTGGACAACAGCAGACATTACAGCATTTCACTCATTCAATTTGCGTCATCAGAGTCAGCAAATCAGCAATGTACTTGAAAAGTGCAATAGAAGTCCACTCAGGGCTTTGTAAAAACACATAGATATACATATATAAAGTTTCAAAAGTTGAAATTATTTCTATACAATTTCTGTCTCAATACCATCCTAGTAGAATACCAATATCCCCCAGAACATTTGCTCTTAAAACAAAGCTTGCAAAATACTAAGTTTATCTGCCAGATTTTTAATAGTTAATTCTGAAACAGTAAGTAAAAATGAATATAAACAATATGTTTTCTGTGATGAAATACACATTTCAGAATGGGAAAGACAACTGAACTATTCCCTAAAAGTGAATCTGGATGAATATAGACATATTTCTGCAACAATACATGGTACATTAAGAAAAAGCAATTCAGATAATTTTTAAAGTCAGTTTAATAATCTATGAGCAACTATATTTAAAAATTAACTTAAATTCTCAAAGTCATTAAACTACAGAAAATTCAGCAAAGTCATAATTTAAACTCAGTACTGTTTCAGGAAGAAAATAATTCCCAAAGTAATTAGAGCATTTTTTAGTCTCACTCATTCCTCCTTCCCTGAGCTCACTTCTTATGAATAATATATATATAAATCACTAGCCCGAGGAATCTGAGGCCATTCTGAGGAGAGAGAGGCAGATTAGGCAGTGAGGGACATGCACTTTAACCCCATAGAGTACATCTGGAGGTTTATTGGGACTCTACAGATCTCAAAACGAAACTAAAATTAGCATGGGAAACTGTGCCTCCAAGGCCAGGAACTTCCAGCCCCCATTAACAATTCTGATTTATAGAAATGAAAAGCTTATCTTGATTGCAAATTAGAAGCTCCTGGAAAGAACACAGGTCAATTACATAACAACAACAAAAAGGCTGGTTTCAGGCAAGAGGAAAAACCCAGAAAGGCTGGTTTCAGCATTGTACAGTTCCTGTCTCTGGGACCCTAATGGGTTTGCAAATTAATTTTATTTGATGTTAAAGAATACAGTGCTGTGAGTCTGACCTATTTCAATTAATATACCTACTTGTTTCTGGGAGCAAGGCAACAGGATTGCTGAATGAGTTCTGCTGAGAAACTATAGAGTGTGTTTCTATTGCAGAAAGCCAGGTTACCTTAAAAAGGGTTATAGGAGACTTCCGGTCAAGATGGTGGCGTAGGTAAACGCGGTATCGTGTCCTCCCACAACCACATCAAAGTTACAACTAAACTAAAGAACAACCATCATTCAAAACCGCCTGAAATCAAGCTGAATGGAAGTCGTACAACTACGGAACTAAGGAAAAAAAAAAAAGCAGCTACATCCAGACCGGTAGGACGGGCGGCGGTGCGAAGGGGGGGCGGCGGCGCAGCGGCAGCGGAGCGCGCAGCGGCGAGACGGGCTAGTCCCACACCCAAGTGTGGTGGATAAAAATCAGGAGGCTCCCGCGGCTGGGAAGGTCCTCCCTGAGGACTGAGGGGTCCCCGTCCCACACCAGGTGCCCCGTTCAGGGTTCCAGTGCCAGGAAGAGAATCCCCATAACTTCTGGCTGGAAAAACCAGCGGAAACTGAGGCTCAGGGAAGCTGACGTGGCTGGAGCCCCAGGCACCTCCTTAAAGGGCCCGCGCACGGACTTATCGGACTCTCTCCCTCTAAGCTCGGAGGGGAGGCAGCTCGAGGGGCACCAGAGACATACAGGGAAGAACTGAGCTGTTTAGCACTGGAGTGAGCGCTGGAGAGAGGGCTTCCTCAGGGACAAACGTGCTGTCAGAGGCCTTTGTTCCTTTGGTGAGCCCTTCCCGGGGGCGGCAGACAGAAGCCATATCTGGGACT